GCATTATCCTCGCTGAATGTGGAAGGCCTTTGTGCCTTTATTGAATCTTAGTGGGTCTCCAATCCCAGTCCTCCACTTAGTTAGAGAGAATCTCATACCGGAGAGTTTAGCGCTTCAATTTTGCCTCTACAATTAGCGATAGGAAAATCCCGTGGGAGGGAAGGGGGATGCTCTGAAGTTTAAAATATCCAGGTCGAACCTAAACTCGGCCCTTTCTGATCTGTGTGAACATGGGCAAATCCCTTTCCTCTGAGCATTTAGGTTCCTCATCTTGAAAGTGGCAATAACACCACCGCCTCCCCAGGAAGACTGTGAGGATGAAATACGCTCGTGCATGTGAAGATCCTGACTTAGCACCCTTTCCTCCTATTAGTAGCATGTACTTCTTGAAATAGGGATTGTGAGGGGTTCGTTTGAAGGGATGCGGTAAAAGTCTCTATAGCTCTGCTGCCGCCTATTTTGTTCTGTGATGAGCTTTGGGGGAAATCCTCACAGGTCCATACAGGAGAGACCACCCTACCCGAGGAGGGAGGGGCTGGCTCTTCAGGACCTTGGACAGCTCCACGCATTCCAGTCTTGTGTCTTTCCCCAGTGAGGCTAAGGGGGACGTGCTGATCACCAGGGATTCAGTCTCACTCCCGGAGTGCACGGCACGCACATGAACATTCAGATTCTTCCACATTTAACCAGCCCTCCTGGAAGATTCTATGGATCCTCTCTTAAAAACACATGACACCACCCATAGGATTTACAGAATCTTCAGACCTGTTCCTTCTGTCCTCTGAACTCTTGAGGAATTTTCTGAGCCCAAGAAGAACAGAGACACCACCAAAATCTTCCAGAATCTGCTGATAGTTAACTGACTTGGCTTCAGCACAAGAATTAAACATACTTGATTAACCTCAAGTGAAAGTAATAATGTATGAGCATTATTTTACAAGACAAAGAGATCTAGGTATGAATTAAAGGAAACATCAAATCCTGTTATTGCCTGTAGGTGATGTTAAGAGCGATTCTCTAATCAGGAAAAGCAGGTGGTTCAGTTTATGAGATAATTTGGCTTTTCACTCTCTGATGCAGAACACAGCACATATATGCAGCCACCTTCTGAACAGGCAAGGAAGAGATTAGTCCTATTTTTACTTTATGATACTGACTCACATAATTCAATGCAAATCACATGGATGCCAAAGTAAGAACAATACTAGGTACTTAAATCCCTCCTTTCCCTTGCGGAGCTCTGATGATTTTATGGCTGCATGAGATCCCTTCTGAGAAACTCCAGAAGAGACACTTGTCTCCCAAGGGGCTCTCCACATCGAGTCTTTCATATCCATGTCCCCTACCCCCATTGTTAGGCCTGAAGAGTCGGCCTTCATAATCTAGCTGCATTTAATAATGGCCTCCCAGGTCCAGAGAGAGATCACAACACAGAAAGTGCTTGCCTTGCATGCAGCCAACCTGGGTTTGATCCCCAGAACCCCATAAGGTTCCCCGAGAACTACCAGGAGTGATTTAGGAGAGCAGAGCTAGGAGTAAGCCCTGAGCACAGCTGGGTGTGGCCCCAAAACAAAAAAAAAATGGCCTTCTGATACTGTATTTCACTTTGTCACCGAGGAGGAAAAGGCTTGTTTTTCAAGAATGTTATTGGCTAATTTAATGAGGAAGAGACAAGGATAGAAGTGGAATAGGAAAAAAAAGAAGGGAAGGGCTGGAGAGATGACTCAGTGGGCTGGAATGAAAGCTTTGCATGCAGGAGCCTGGGTTCGATCCCTGGTCACCAAATGGTCCCCTGAAAACTTAGGCGTCACCCATGAGTACCTCAAGGTATGATTTCTCACAAATAGAATAGTAAAGGGAGAAAAAAGACAGAAAAATACCCACCTCCTGAGCTTGATAAATGTTTTCTATGTACTGTCTTTATAAATGGATTCAGCACCACCCCTAACTGGACACAAAGTTTTAACAAAGACCTTTGGAGGTCCTCTTTAAATATTTCCTTATGGGTTAGGATGGTGGCAGTTCCATTGCTTGAACTAGCTCGACGGAACTGTAGATAATAACAGAACTGCAGTGGCAGACAGAGAACCCTCAAACAGAAAAAAAAATTGTTTTTTGGGCCACTCCTGGTGGTTACTCAGGGATTACTTCTGGCTCTGTGTTCAGGGTCTCTCCTAACGGGGCTCAGTGGATCATATGTGATAATAAGGACCAAACCTGGGTTGGCCACATACAAGGCAAGCATCCCCTACCTACTGTACTATCGCTTCAGCCCTCCAAATAGGAATGTTTTAAAGTAGGTTTTACTTAACAGTGCCTGAGTACTTACACCATGAGGATGTGGAACTAACAAGTTAGTAGACTATATCTCCGTTTAACTTCCACCCAGCAGAGGTCACTGTGGACACTGGTAGTGGATACATGTACTGGACTCAGCCGGACTGAGCTGGATGGTGACTCCAGTGACTGGTAACTGCTTTTCCTGTTCCACCGACCGGATGGGGCTCTCGGTAGGGATTATCTCCAAGCCACACAGCCTCTGCAGGAGTACTGTAAAACTCAGCTTAGTTGCTTGGAGTGGCCGGTCCCGGAGGCCTGTCTCTCCTCAGTAGAGCAGTGCTTCTCAACGTTTTTCTGACCTGAACCCTCTTCTAACCGTTTCCTTCCAGGACCTCCCTGTGCTACTATTGGACCCCCAACTCGTGTGTCATGGTCTCCCCCATTTCTCACAGTTTTCGCCTGTGACCCCTTAGAACATACTGCCCTCAGGGGGCATACAGCACCTGATTGAGAATCGCTGCTCTTGAGGCAGTACCTTTGTATCAGCTTTGTGTCCTCTCTCGGGGTGTACCTAGCATGAATTAGAAGCCACTTGTCACTGGCCAGCAGTCTCAGCAGTGGCCCTTCTAGAATAAAGGTCAAAGTGCCCAAAGTTGCCCAGACACCACCATGCCACTGTACCATAAAGAATTCTGCCGGTCCGTTCCCTGAGTCCCAGTTGGCACCCAGAGTTGGTGGGGGGAAAGATTTACGGACCTTAGGAGAGCCATTACCACGGGGAAACTTTCTCAGGGATGGAACAGATGGGACCCTGGTGAGGCATGGGATCGACGGAAGACCCTAGAAGAGGGTTGTACATGCTTGTGAGGGTACCACTTCCTGGGCCACACTGTGCGGGGGTCCCTGGAACATTATGGATCATTACTGAGTCTTGGGACTGGGTGGGATGTTCACCCTGTGGCCACCCTGGAAATCCTGGGGCCCCGCCCCCCACCCAGCCACATGCACAAGCTCACTAGGGAACCCACACGAACACTGGTGCACACAGTGGCACGTTCAACCATGCACCTAATCGCATACCCATGCTAACACTCCTGTGGCTTGCACACACGGGGAAGCCGGTTTGATCTAATATGGCTGATAGATGTGTGTGTGTGTGTGTGTGTGTGTGTGTGCGCGCGCGCGTGCATGCATGTGGCCGTTGCCCCCTGGGGACCTGACTCTTGCCTGCTGAACCCTGGGGACCCTCCCCAGATGTGAGGCTGTCCGCATCCTCGTGGTCACAGGTTCTGAACGCGCCCAGAAGAGACCCAGTTTGCCATTACCGCACGCGGAGCATCAAGGGCTGGGCTGGCGGGGAGAGGGGGTGCGGGGCATGGTGCCTACCCGGGCGCAGCCGCCTCCTCCCTCGGGATTTTCCATCCCGGCTCGCGCGGGCCCGCCAGGAGCGAGCGCGCTTTGTCTCCCGCCCGGCTCCTGGCACGTTTCCGCCGAAGCTCCACGCGCCGCGCCCGAAGCCCCCCCCCCCCCCCCCCGCGCCCGCGGCCGCGCCCCCCGCCCAGCCCGTGGCGCAGACCCGCCCGTGCGGCCACCGCCGCTTTGTCCTCCCGCAGATGCCGCCGCGATGGGGCGGGAAAGCCCCGCGTGCCGGGCGGCCGCCGCGTGCCGGGTCTGGGGTGCGCCCGGTCCGAGGGGAGCGGCCCGGAGGGCTCGCGGGCGCGGGGGGCGTCTGCTCGGAGCTCCGAGCTGCGGGAGAGGGACCCTCCCGCTCCCGCCCCGCACGTGCCCATCCGGGTTTGGGTTTGGTTCAGGAGCCCCCGGGAGGGGCGGGGCAGGAGGGTCGTCTCGACTTAGCTCCCCGCTCGCGGATCCAGATAAAGGCCGGGGTGGAGAGAGGAGGAAGGGAACCCCCCACTTCCCTTTACTCTCCCCTGGCACACACCCCACCCTCCGGCTACTCCGGCCTCGGGCGCGTGTTCTCGAACGCGGAGGACCCCATCATCCATCAATGTTCTCGGGTCTCAGCCGGGGGCTCCCGCCTTTGCCCCTCGCCTCCCATCAGTCTGTCCCCCTTCCCCCCAATACCCTAGGCGGGTCCACGGCGGAGGGGGGGAAGTGCCCCCTCCCCCGTCTCCATCCACATGCCGCCGCCCCTTCCCACAAAACCGTAGGCCTCGGGAGAGGGGTGGGCGCAGGGGGAAAACCTTCGTGACACCCCCCAAAAAGCCCTCACCCAGGCACGCCCGGCCGTGAGCAGAGGAGGAGCAACCTCGCGATCTCGTTCATCGCACCCAGAACCCGCTTTGTAACCTCAAGCAAACCAAGGTGTCGAGGAGAAGGGTCCCCCGTCCCCGAAATCTTGCATCCCAGAACACTCCCTCCCGAGCCCAATAATCCGAGCAGCTTCGGCTTCAGGCACGGGCGGAGGGAGGCTGCCAGCTCGCTGCGCGCTCGGGAGAAAGGGGAGGGATGCTCCAGCCCGCGCCCGTCACCCTCGACAGCCCCCTCCGCCAGGAGCCAGAAACTAAGCCAAGCTGCTCGACCTCGTAGCTCCGGGGAGGCCCGCGAGCGGTCAGTCGGCAGCTCTCTGGGACAGATGGTCCTGCCTGGCGATCGAGGACAGGTCCCATCAACTCCCCAGCCCCCCCCTCCCCATCGCGCCTCCTTTCGCTCCTTCCTTTCCCAAATCAAACAAAAGAGCGAAATCTTGCAGCACCGACCTCAGAGAGGCGGGAGGGCGGTCAGCGCCTTGCAGCGCGCCCAGCTCCTCCGGGCTTCTCCCGGCCCCGGCTTCCCGGCGGTAACTGCAGCGGCGGCGGTGGTGGTGACAGCGGCTCTCGCGTCCGGACTCAGCACCTGGAGCAGCGAACAGCTCCGCGCCTCATTCCGAGGACCCCGCCTCCTCCGCGCCGCCGTAGCCAATGGAAATGCGCGACACGCCCAGGAGGCCGCCCATTGGGGGCGCCCGTCCCCTGCACCCCCCCCGGGCCCCGCCCGCGGGTTCCTCGAGCGCTCCGTGAAGACCACAGACCCGGAGTTCTCGCACAGCCTTCTGGAACTTGTAGTTCTCTCGGGACACCGTAGTGGAGTCACGTGGCGGGCAGCTAAGCCGAGGCGAACTGCATTTCCCAGGGTGCATTTCCCAAACGGAGGGGCTGAGGCCGGGAGGAGGACTTGTTTCCATGGCAAAGGCGGCTGGTCGGGCTTGGCTGCCGGAGACGTGGGACAGGCCACGGGACCCTCGAAGCGTCGAAGTGCGTGACTTCGGGCAGCCACTCGAGAGGCCTTCTTCTCTTCATGGGGCTCCGCGCCCCCGTTCTCCTAGCTGGGTAGACGGGCGTGGAGCCCCCCACCCCGCTTCCCCCCGCCCCTCACTCTTTCCCACACCCCCAGCTTTGCCCCGCCAGGGTGACAGGGCAGAGAAAACCCTTTGGCGTTCTCAACTTTCCGCTTGTTCGTCTCGACCTTGTCGACCTAAAACAGAGCTGCTTTACTGTTTGGTCATCGGCCTTGGGTCTTCCCGTCGCGGGTTCGGGCCGCCTTCACACCACCCCCGGCTCCCCCAGCATCTCCCGCAGCGTAGCTCCAGGGTGCTTCTCCGTCTTGGACTTGGACCCCTTTGAGGATCCCCACTGCCCGCGAACTAAACCCACACTCCTTCACACCGCATCCTGGACCCCAAGACCCGGACTCCGCCTTCTCCTGGCGGCACTCGGAAGTTCGGAAGCGGGGAGCCTTGAGCACCCCGTTAGCTTTCACGCCACCCTGCCCTCAGCTATCTCCCCTCAAGCTCTTGCAAACCCCCGCCCACATGCAGCCTGGTGGGCGACGACGCCTGCCTGGGTGCGTGGGCTCCGTCGGGGGAACCCCGCGATGCTTCGGGGTAGCCCCATCCACGTCCCCGTCGCCACCTCCCGCTGTGAAGGCGCCTCACTCAGGGGCCGTGTCTGTGCTTGTCTTCCTCGAGGCTCAGTGCCTGTCCTGCCTGGCACACACAGAGCTGGTTCTCACTGTGTATGGAGCAGCTGGAGCGGTGGAGAGAGCTCCAAGGGCTGAGCAACAGGCTTGTCTGCAGAAGACTCAGGTTCGATTCCCAGCGCTGCGTAGTCCCCAAGGCGACTGCCCCAGTACAGTGCAGGGAGTAGCCCCTGAGCACCGCCGAGGTGTGGCCCGAAAACAAGATAAAGAAAACGAACCGATTTGTCATTGAAATGCGCGTACACTGACAAAAGCCTTGATTTTCTAAGCCTGGTCATTGCTGGAACTATTCCACGAGAGTAACATCACCCCCTGGACGAAATGTTTATGCCTTTTGTACAGTGGATTGGAATTTCATCTGAATGCTCTGGGGGTCCTTTCCATCCTCTGATGCTAGGGATTAATGCGTATTATTCACGCCTAGTCCTTGGAAATCCTGTTAATTCTCTCCTAAATGTCATCGGTTCTTCATGTTCTTCTATTTCTAGCCGTTGGCCCTTCCTCCTTCCTGTGCCTAAGTGCCCTACCTCCCACTCGGTTTCTGGGAAAGATCTCCCTTGTTGGTGATGAATAGAAACAGTCTGACACCCCTCCCTGCCAGCTCTCTGCTCTGCACATCAGGGCTCTTCTGCAAGGTGCCACACCTTGCTAGGTAGAGTCTTTCCTAAACCTTTCCCCCCTCGGTGCCCTGATGTTGGCCAGATGGCTCAACTAATCCCACACATGCTTTATATGTCATCCCATCTAGATATTTTGGGTGTATTTTCAGCTGGAACATTCTTGAGAGCATGCCTGATATATAGGAAAAATTAATTCCAGACTTAAGCAGTAATCAGGGGACTATTATCCTGAATCCAATCCAAACTAAAGGATAGAATCAGTGAGAGAGCCATCCTGTCATCCTTGGGCTAGTGACATCAGGGTGGGAAAGGCTGAGAAAGGAGAGGAATAAAGTGGGTTGCCTTGCTTTTAAAAGGGCTTTTAAGCATCAGGGGGGCCTTTGATCCTGGCCGAACCATGAAGGAAGGACGCTGAATCTGGGTGAACAGGTGAGATCTCAGTACTGAGGAGGCAGGGACAGTGGATCTGTGAATGCCCAGTCCTGTGAATGCAGCCAGAGCAGAAACTGCTGGGAAAGCAGGTGCCTGCAGCAGGCCAGCAGGGAGCTACCAATAATCAACTCTACCTGGAGCCATAGCTGGAGCACTTTGGAGGTGAGTTTAGCACAAAACAGTAGTGCTAATTTCCAGGAAATTGTTACAAGAAAGGAAAATTCAGGGTTCAATGGTTCTTTTTGAAAGCAAGCAACTTAACACACACACACACACACACACACAAACACACACACACACACACACACCCCAGACCAGCCAAGTAGTCAGGAAACCTAGGCTCAAATTCTGACTTGTCTCTGATTAGATGTGTATGACCCTGGGCTGAACCGATTCTGCACTTGTAAATACTGTTTATTAGTGTTAGGAAGCAGCTAGTAAGGTGGAGGGGGTGGAATTCAAACACATTTACTAGCTGTGTGATCTTGCACAAACTCTCTGCTCAGATCTGCAGTTAGCTTATTTGAAAATGTAATGTATGGGGGAGGTGCCTTAGGTAAAGCTCTTCTTAACTCTTAACAAATGTTAATTTTGTTTCCATTTACTTTGATGATCAGAAATTGGTTCGTGAATAAGCCAATAGGAATTAATGTTCTGGGTAATTTGGGTTCAGTTTTCCATTCTCTCATTAATTGTAGGATTTTGGCAAGGTCCATGTCCTTTTTGTTTTGTCATTTATTAGGAAAGGCTTTAGAGCAGAGAACCATAAAAGAGAGGGAACCTGGATATTTAGAAGCTAGAGGTGCAAAGGATTCCAGGGGAATCCCCTTCCTACTTAGAGGGACAAAAAGGTCTCAGTGAAGTTCAAGATTCATGAAATAAGCAGGAGGTTGATTTGGATTAATTCCGATTAGCAAGGGATGGCCATAGTGCTAACTCTTCGACACAAAGTTGGGGCAGATAACCCCAGCTCGTCCCTAAAGAGCCTCTTCTGGTAGGCTGAGTACTATAACTGTATTCTAAAGATGACGGATTTTAATTTTTCAAATGGATGTGTGTTTAAGGGGACTGGAGAAATAAGACAGCGGGTAAGGTACTTGGCTTGCGCTCAGTCTACTTGGGTTTAATCTCTGGCATCCCATATGGTACTCTGAGCCCTACTAGGTGTGATCTTTGAGCACAGAGCCAAGAGAATGTGCTGAACATCGCTGGGTTTTGCCCAAAAGACAAAAACAAATAAAGGAAGAAAGAAAAGATTAAAAAAAAACTAGAAGTGTGTCTTGAAAAGAGATATAGGGGCTGCATGGAGAGTGCCCAGGAGAAGATGAGGCTGGGATGTGGGTTGAAGCTGCTACAGTGATCCAGCACAGCATCTTTGAAGATGGGAATGAGTAGGTGGATCTAAGATGCATTAAGGAAATAAATACTCAGAGGACTTTGTGAGTGATGGTTGAGGTGTGGAGGAGAAGGTGAGTCAAGGATGATGGCCCAGTAACTGCATTGGGTAACTAGATGAGTGAATACTTTTCCCCAAGGTGTGGAATAGTAAAGGAGCAGATTTAGACAAGAAGAGGAGGAGGAGGGTTTGACACGAATAGGAGATATCCCGATGAGATGTCTGGCGAATAATTTGGAGCCTCTGAGAGGGAATCTTATAAATTATTGACATATTGATCAGAATTGATGCCATGGGAATGAGTAAAATTTTTCAATAGAGAATGTCACAGGGAAAACCACAATCCCTTGGGACATGCAAACATTTCAGAACTGGTCAAGGAGGATGAACCTAGAAGGAAAGGTGAGAACAGTTGAGAAAATCAGTGGTGTTCCACAGAAAGCAAGTGGAGAAAGAGGGATAGCACGGTGCCCAAAAGTGAAGTAAGCTGAAGTCTGAAAAACTGAATATCAAATTTAACAACAGAGAGATCACTGGGGACCGTGGAGAATAACATGGGAAGAAGTGTGAGTGCAGGGAAAATAGATGGAGAGAATTCTTGGAATTGGATTGATATTGAAGGGAAGGAGGAAGAAAACCAGAAAGAACAGAGAATTGAGAGACAATTTTGTTTTAAGTTGGGGCAGTTAGGACATTTAAAAATCTGGGGAAATTCAGTAGAGGATGGAGGGAGGGAAGCACAAGCAGAGCAGGTAATGCTGGTTGGAAGTAGAGTTCAGGGACAGTGACGGTGTGTCATGGACTTGAAAGGCAAATTTGTTGGATGGGTTCTTCATGGGAGAGTCTTCCAGTAAGATGGCTGATCTGAAGGAGAGATAAACCCCAGTAGCCCTGTGCCAAATTGGATGGTGAGTGGGAAGTTAACAGATGGTAGAAAGGAGGATAGAAGGGTACAGAGCCCTCTGACTTGGATGGCACCGCAGTCAAGGTATTGGGGTCTTAAGAAGAAGCTGTCTTACCCAGGGCAGGCAGGAGAAGAAGGAAGAGAAGCTATCTGCTTTTATGTACATTTTTCTCAGAAGTATTATCTCTGTATCACTTATAAATGTTCGATTTTATATACACCTGAAAGGAAGAATGTCTAGGAGTTAAAAGCAACCAAATAAAAAAGCAATTCCAGATTTCACGGTGGAGTTGTATCAGCCGAGATCAATGAAAGTGATTCCTGAAATTTATATTTTGGCATAGTTCGTAGATAGAAGTACGTGCACGTCAACTCTAAAATGTGTTTAAGAATTTTGCAAACTTCATTTCTTAGCAACGGTTTGTTTTCTCAGTTTAGAACATAAATTAGAAAACGTGTGTTGATTTTTTTCAAATGTAGAACTTAGAGTTTAATTCATGCCTTTGAAATGCCATGAATTTGAAATGCAGCCATTTTCCTTTCTGCATCCTTGAAAAGGATTATAAGGATTTT